TATAAGTCTCCAAGTCAAAACGTGTAGCAGTGCCAATACTTTTCTTTAGACCATATAGCTGCTCTAAATAGTGAAAACAAAACCTTTCAGACACGTAATGCTTCAGATCATCTAAGAACAGATCCACATGGATACAGACTGAGAAACCACGCTGTGCTGTGCTTTACTAGGTGTAGAGTATTTACTAGGGCGCTTTTCTGACATTTTCCAATTCAGTCACTGCTCATAAAAGTGAATCCAGTAACCAGAAAGATGAACAGAAAATATATATTTTAAGGAGGTTGTGTTTTAATTGGGTAGTTTGGACTTTCAGGAAAATTTGGCAAAGCTGAAATTAATTTTCAGATTATTTGTTCTATAGGAATCTATGCTTCTGCTAAGAGCTTAAGCTGAGATATCTGAGGCAGTTTTGTTCACACTGAAGAATCCAGCTTGCAAATAGAAAACTTTAAATAGTCTCATTCTGTCTACTGAAGTCAATATTGTAGAGAGGTGGGGTTTTTTTTCCTAAAAACACTTATACCTATACAAATGTCAAGGCTTAGTTCTACTTTAAATTCTTCTCTATCCAGAAACGACCTGGCATGTCAAGAACTGTTCTGAACTTTTGGCAGTATGGGAAAAAAGGGGTTCTAAATTAAGGAAATGCAAGTGATTTTTGTTACTTTTTAATAGCTCTTAATGTATATAGCTGTCTAAGAGCTCTTGTAGGATTTGCTAACCAATTTCACATTTATTAATTATTATCCTGGGGCTGTATCATAAGATGTCTCATATGCTTCTACCTTGTCTTGACACAAATTAAAAAGTCCAGCTTGCCATTTCCTTTACAGAAAGGCAATATATTTTACTGCAATTGCACTCTTATTACATGAAAGATTATATACTTGTATGTCACCTCTGTTTCTTAACAAATATCCCTTTAATGAAAGTGGGCAAAATTATCATGCCCTTATGATTCTGAAATATATCTTGGCACTGCACATTATCTCATGTTTTGTCTGTTCACATACTCTCCACCTCCTTTCTGACTTGGAGCTGGAACCCCAAGACACAGAATATAATGACTTGCTTCAGGCAATACAGTAGTCACAGAAGTAAAAGCTTTACTGGGTGGTAGCCTCTCCTGGAATGCAGTCTGTGGCTGGTGATCAAGGACAAATAGGAAGCCAGGTATCCTCAATCTGACAGTTTCAGCCATAGGATTGAGGTCACTTGCAGGAAAACTGTTTGGAATGAGCGGTTTTGTCCAGCTTGTTTCCTTCAGAGTATGTGACAAGGCAGGATGTTGTACATGCTCAGAAACTCTAGCAAAACCCCTGCAGTGGAAGGGCTGAGTGGAAGCAAGAGGAATCAAAGTGGCAGAAGTAGCTAAATGAGACGTATCAAAAAGGTTCAGCTTAGAATTAGAAAAGATGTGATATTATTCAAAGCAAAACTAATGAAAAGCAGAATGCTAAACACATTTGCCATTCTTGTGTTTGGGTTAGGGGTGAGGGAGCGCTGGGGGGATATTTTTGCACTTTTTTTTGTAGCTAGGGGTGATGAGTTGAAAGGGGAAAAAATGACTGATGGATCTCAGGAGAAATTACAACGAAGTGCTGAGGTTGTCTTTGAAAAGACAAAACTGAGGAGTGAAGAGCTGGCGACAGTTACAACTTTCCAGCACTTTCACTTTTCCAAACCAAGGAACCAATGGGAAGTATAATTCTTCAGCACTTAAAGCTCCTTAAATTGATATTTTAGGATTAATTTCTTTGATTCCTGGCTTTTCACATAATTGAACATATTTCATAAGGGGAACCACTACAAGAAAGTTCATGACATCCATTATATGAAGCATAGCCCATGAAGATACCTGATTAGACAACTCCTGACCACGGAAGGAGGTATTATAAAACTGTCCAACTGAATGAGATACTTTACTGTGCCACATTCAATCTACCATTTCTATCTGCCCTAATTATAGTCAGCTAATTCTGTTAGCTTCTTTAATACATTTAAGCTACAGTACTTAGAAGCTGAGAGCAAGTACTGCCCTTTAATGGAGTTACCATTTTCAGAGCAACCTTTTCATTCTATGAAGAAAAGAATTATTCATTATTTTTGTCGTGATGGAAGTTTGTTGAGTTTTTTTCCTATTATTGGAATATCTTACAGCAAAAGCCAAATAGTACTTTGTTTACTTAACAATATTTGTAATGTGCCATCAGACAAAAAAAATATGTGAAAAAACTTATGTGAAAAGGAAAGAAATAGCTTGATATTCAATTCTCAGAAAGGTACAGAAGTCAATGTAATAAGATATTGTCTTGCTCCATCACACCAAATGGTAGACAAAGTGCACCTGTAGGCTGTTTTTAAATGTTAGACTTCTATTCAGAGAAGTGATATTCTCCACTGTAGTCAGCAACTTGGCAAATCAGAACAAAATTCAATAATTCTTCCTTTTTTGGAAAGAGAATAAGAAATAGGAACCGTAAAATAGAAATGAGGCTGAACCAAAAAATCTTTATCTGAGCTGGCTCATTTTTTAGGGGAGTTTGAAAACTTTTCTACTAAAAATTCCTCAAACCTATATTACCTGAGTATTCTATCTATCTTTTTGATCATACAGGTATGTGACAATTACACATTATGACTAAACTGCCATGTAAGAATTATATTTCGGAAAGTAAAGGTACTGTTCTGATGCAATGTCTCAAGAGACAATTGATACATTAATTGATACATTAATTGATACATTAATTCAATGCAATACACTATTATTGAAAGGTATGCTTCCTTCAAATATTCCCACAAAAACATACTTGTTAAAAGGTGCATTTCCTACACAGAAGTACCTCTGTTTCCACCTTACCTTTATAGGCATTGCATATACTTACACACTTTAAATCTCATATTTGCACCCCTCAGATATACAAGCCAGAATGTCACTTCCTCAGTGATGCAAAGCAGATTAGAACTTAAAAGAAAGGAAGAGGAGAATGGCTTTCTTTTGTGATAAATACATTTGTGTGTGTGTGTGTGTGTGTGTGTTTGTGTGTGTGTGTGTGTGTGTGTATGTGTGTGATGGACAAACATTTTGTATCATGATGTCAATGTCACGCGTCTATGCAGGCCTGTATAGACAAGCACTAACATTCTTAAAAGGGTATAAGCACACAAGAGAGTTACAAGGGGCTTCTGTCCTTAAACAACATAATCATTACAGAAAAAACAGTTTGATGAAATGTGGGCTGGAAAGTGATATTATCAACAACTGTGGCAAAACTTTATTGCAGCTGATGCATTTCTGATTCTGAACTTCACATTGCTTTCTGCTTAGATGTACCAAAAGGTGTAAAACTTAGAAGCTGAGACAAATAACATTTTAGCCTTTAAAACACTTATTCACAGTTCTTTCTCAAAGCTTTTGAGGTAATCTGGGACTTTTTCAATGCCGTGTGTCAGACAAAGAACACAGAATTTCCCATAAAATCCTGGGAAAAGGGAAACCAGGGCCTGCCCAGAAAATGAACAGGAGAGGAAGGAAAAGTTTCCAAGGCAAAAAAAAAGGAGCATTGAGGACTGGAGGATTTTTCCAAGCAGGCAGTTCCACTGTCCTGTTGCAGTAATCTCAAAGAAAAAACCAGAGTGCCACAACAGTAAGAAGCTGGAAAAAAAGAAAAGGGAAGAGAAAAAAAAAATGCGGAAACAGAAATAAGAAAGAGATTAAAGAGTAGATACAATTGGAGAAATAAAACAAATAAATTGGCAGAAGGGAAGAAAATGAAAGCTTTTGATGGGATAAACCTTCAACCCACAGCTGTCTGTAAATAAGTTCCCAAATGTACGTAATTCCTGTAATAAAGCTTTTTAATTTTTTTATGTTATGCTTACCAGTATAAAGAACAACCATCTTGCATATAAATCAGAAGAAAATTAGCAGTATTAGTAGAACTGAAAATCATAACCTTATCATTAGGCTTCTAACTGTAACAGAACAAGAAAGAATAATAATGTAGTTAAAGTTGTTACAGACACTTTTTAGTTTGTTCCTGCTCTCTTGGTGGTAAGGTCACCTTTTCCAAAGCTTGTGGCTAGTGACAGAACAGGTATTGTGGTGAGTCATCAGGATCTGGAGTCCTCTGCCAAAAAGAATGACATGCACATTGATCTATCCTGGCATCTCCTGGGAGTATTTTTTTTATTGTTTGATAATATCCTTTTACATCTTTCCCTTTTTTCAGGGGCTTGACATTATATATGATTTCACTACATGATGCCTTTATGTTTGGTTAGTAATATCTATTTTTTTTCTTTGATAAGGCATATATCAGTTTTCTACAGTTGCAGATCTGCATGCCACTTCATGACCATAACTGACTGCTTAAGACTTCCTGTTCTTTAGTGCCAGGGCTGTGCCCCATGTTTTATTATCCTATGACTGTCCATTTTAGTGGTCCTTTATATAGCATCTCATATCTTCACTTATGCCAGCACTTCTCTGCTCTATATCATTGTGTTACAGTTGTAAATTTTTCGCTTTACACTAAATAACTATTCATTAGAGTTATCTGTGTAAAACTCATTGGAAAATACCACTTTCAGTTACACCAGCCTGTCATCAGACAGTTTAAAACCTTGGACACAGCAAGTCTCTGCAAACTCAGCCATTGCAAACTCCATTACAAAGCTGGTGGATTGTTACTGTCAATCATAACACCGTTATGAAGCCATAGGACTACAGTGTCTTCTGTAGGATTCTACCTTGTGCTCTGTATACAATACGATACAATTTGAAATTGTATAAATGCGACCTGGGAAGCAGGATGAATTCTTCCTTGCTTGGCTGGAGATAAATGGAAATTGATCAATGCCAGATATTGACATAACTATAACCCATACAACATTTGGAGTGTGGAAAAAGGCAACTGTTACAGCAGTTGAAATATGATACCGACATTTTGAAAGTCTTTGGCAACCACATGGCAAACCCGGCACCCTTGGATACGCACCAAGATTCTTGTAGGTTAATGAGCAGAGCTGAGGAATTTTGAAACAGTCTGTAGGTCTTGTAGTAGCTTTTAAGGGATGTCAAGAAAGTGACTATCTTATCCAGCTGCTCTTGCCAAGGATTTCATCCTGCTGGGCAGACAGGTGTGCCCAGGAACATGGGGTTTCTGTCCAGCCCAAGGGATCCATCTGCTGTTGTCCCATTTGCTGGTTCAGCCAGAGGTGAAGCTGAGCACCTTTCCCAGGGACACCTGTAGACATGAACACAGACATGCACAAGGGAGGCTCACACAGAATACTGAAATGGCTGGTCACACAGGCTGCCACAGGGAAGACCATGCCTTGAACATCACCCAGATAAAGGAATCCCAAAAAACACAGAGACAGCTGAGTCCCCTCCTTCTCTTGGGCAGGATGTCACTAATGCAGTGCACACAAGATATTCTCCAAGTTTACAAGCACATACACATTTTCAGGCCCTTCAAGTGTCATCACATCCCCTCTGTTCATCCACTGACTCTGCCTGTATCCTGGACCCACTTTATAGGCCCCTTGCCCTCTGGCTGGTTCAGCTCAGTGTTCTCTAGGAAACTCATGGCATTCACATCTTTGTTCTGCAGATACCCCCACACTCACAAGTCTCCCTCACTAGCTGGTGCAGCCAGTGCTAGTTGCCAGTTGCTTGTGAAGGCACCCACAGACACATCCCTCCCATGTATTTACTGGGTTTAGGGAAGATACTGCCACTTGGCACCAGCTGCCACAAGACCTGTGGGCTGTGACCAGAAGTCTACTTCAGCTGCCAGCACTGAGCTTCTCAATCAACTCTTGTCATGTCAGTTTCTCTACAGGTGGTTTTTATGGTGCATACCACTCCTGCTACAGTGAATGGAGGTTAAAGGCTCCAGCTCACTTGCTTCCCTGGTATTATGACACCACTGACCCCAGTAGCTGGCCCACAGGTCAAAGTTCCTACAACTTCAGCCAGACTCTTGCAGTTGGTACCAAATTTTACTCACACACAGAGGTCTTGCCTGTAGCTAGCACTTAGCACTTAGTCCTTGCAACACCCATATGCAGAGATTGAACCATGATATTTTGCAGAGATAATTAAGGAAAGATTTAGCAAAAAACACAGTAAGATAGAACAGACTGTGGTGATCAGGTGCAGGCCTCAGCCAGAAATGAGTACGGACTTGTCCTGTTTTAAGAGTGACCGTAGCCTTTTAAAAACCTTTTCTGCCTGCCTCCTACTGTTTGTCCTTGTGGTTCTCCTTCCTTTGCACATCCCTTCATGGGTTTGTATACCTCTCTCAGCCCAGGCTCCAGGATCCCTCCTGGTTTATAACAACATCAGGTACAAAGTCCAGGCAGATCTTCCTGCAAAGCAACTTCCTGCTAGTCCATCAACTGATGGGATTGGTGAGGTTGTCTCTTGTCATTGTCTCCATTTTTCATTTGTTAGACATGTGTGTCTGTATATTTTGTTTCTGGCTTCCCTTTTTTCACTCATTTCCCAACCACGTCCATGATCAGAAAACTGTGTTGGAACAAACATTCTTGTACTCTTACATGTCTTCGTCAGTTACTGTGAATGGGCAGACTTGATGTCTCTAGCTTTTTCCTATGTTTTTCCTGTCTCTGAAGTTTCTTGTTTAAAGTTTCCTCCTTTCCTTATTGCCCACTTTTTCCATTGAAAAGGGCCCTTGGCCAGATTCCCTTAAAGGAGCAGATGATCTCCTGCACTCCACAATATCTAAAAAACATAACGAATTCCTGGAATGGCTGCTGATAAACTGTTAAGTCAGCATTGCCTACATTCGATGAGGTGTTTCAAGTTCAGCTGTCTCAGTGTTTCTTGGTCAATGGTGAAGTGAAAATTATGGGTTCTTTGGTAGCATAACAATGAGAACCATTCAAAACAAGTATGACTATGTGAACTTAAAGAAACTTGAATACAGCCAAATAAATTAATTAATATTCAATATTTTTATATAGTTTAAGCCTGAATTACCCCCAATAGTCACTACTAAGTTTAACTGCTTTTGGCCTACACTAACACCATTTCTTTATAGCACCTCAATATAGTGGTTCCTTTTCCATTGTTTACTCAACAGCAACAATGAGATTACATATCTATGTGTGCAAGGAGTTACCATAAGCTTCTCTCTCACTCTCTCTCCTTCTTAATCTTTATCTCTTTCTCCTCCCAAGGAGGAGTTTACAGGTTTTCAGCCATATATCCTCCTCTTTTATTTAGAAAATAATTATTCTGATCAATCCTATACCAAATCTCAGGCTGTGTGGCTGAGAACTCCTCTAGGATTCCTAAGTGAATGAATTTCAGAAATAGGACATCTGGGTAATATATCCATTTTCTCAAATGATTTATGTTTTTCATATTGGGTGACCATATCACTTTGTACAATATTCTATTGAACTATATTTTCTTATTATCCTTCAAAAAAACTTATTTTGAAGTTTGCCTTTCCAGTTACTGATGTCACCAGTTTTTCCTGACTTGGCTGAAACATCTTTCTATGGGTTGGAAGACAAGCTAGAGTTTTATGAAATTAAACTTCTCACATTTCTTCATGATTCATGTAAAATAACTGAATAGATGAATACAAGAACACTGCTCATTTTCTTCTTGGACTTGTCTTATGAGATTGAATCAGAAATTTTCAGGAGCTCCTTCAGCATAGTTTGTAAAGCTTTTTTCATGTGAGTTAGGGTAAAATTTGCATTGCCCTGAATGACACCAGAGATAAAGTAACAGGCTGAATCTTTTAAAAAATTTTGCATAGTTGAATTTCATGTATATAAAGTCTGATCAAAGACTGACTTGGGCTACCCAAGAGTTTTCTTACTTCACCAAGCATACCAGGGCAAGGGATAAAAGAAAAAGTTCACTTCCATTTTTGATACGGATAATTACGGATAAATATTCTCAGTAGAAAGTATAGTGACAGCATGCAATATTCATTACTCTACAATTACCTTTTCTTGACTCTCTCACTTCTTGAGTCTGTTGGTCAGATGGCAGAAGGGTGCTATCATGTTGAAGAAAATTATCATGTCTGATTCCCCATGCTCCTCTTGTAACCTATGACTTCAACTATCAATAGTCACTAGTTGTAATTATTCAGCTTCCCCATAATAGAGTGGCAGGGTAAGAAGAGCACTGCTCTTCATTGCAACTGAACTGATAACAGAAAGGCAGATTGCTAAAATTACTCCTTTGCTATATATCACATCAAATTCCCTAGGTTTTAAGGAAAAGGATCCATTTTTTTGGTGTGTCCTTTCTTTCTTTTTGAAACTGAAATGGTAGGTTTAGAAGCAGAAATACTATTATTATATAAAGTACAAAATGACTGACATTTGTAGAAGGTAGCTTTAATCAGAAGATATTGTTGGTGTTGTGGCATAAAATCAAAACAAAAGGTCATGGACACAGTGACAAACAGAAAACAAAGGTTGTTTCTTTCTAAAATTGTGTTACTAAATGTGAATTCATTAAGGTTCAGAGAAGGATGTTCCTCTTGCTTTAACCTCTTATCTCCAATATATCCTCTGACATAAATACATTTCTGACATATCTTGAACAAGAAAAGAGACCTCCAGTATAGTATTATTCCCAAAGGTAGGATACTGGTACTACATTGTGGACAGTCTTTGAATAAAGCTAAAGTGCAAACTGAGGAACTAAAACACTACATAAAATAAACTGCCAATTTCCCCCTGAGGAAGGTATGTGGAATTTCTCATCTATATGGCATAAGATGCAATGAAATGGAATAAGCCCATATTAACTTTTAATCTGAAGTAATGCCTTTGTACTTGAAATTCTTCTATGTGCAAGAACATAACACAGTTAGTAAAAGAAATCCTTTAACCAGGAACATTGTTTATAAACACTTGTAGCTTTTTTGGCAAGTAAACAAAAATCTCATCTAAGGTGGGATGTTTCCCTAAACTGTCACAGTGCTGAAAAAGCCACCTCGCACAAAAAGTGTTCTCTTTGTTAATAAGAATCTTTTACTTCAAGGAGTCACTGAAATCCTAACCAATATTTGCAAGAGAGTCCCTGACAAGAGCCTGTTAGAATGAGAGGGAAGTCAATAAAAGTAAAGTGTAAGTGTAACATTAATGGCAGGTTCTTGTAGTCATTTTCCCCCAAATTATACCATTCCTATTCAAATACCATCTCGAGAGTCTCAGACAGTGTCAAGTGCAATCATTGTTATTGCAGTTGCCAAGGTAATCAATTGAAATCATAATGAAGGGAACAGAAGGAAATCAATAGAGTCTGAAATTACAAATAAAGAGAAGCTATCGTTTAAAAGCATTTGGCTGAAATCTTCCATATTAATGGAGTCAGAAATGGCTGTGTCATTCAGAAGCAGTGTGGTGCATAATTCACTTGAGTGCATTAGAACACCTAAAAGCTATTGCAGCAATTAGTGCTGCCTACCAAGAAAGTGTCCACCTTAGAAGCATCACTGAATTTTTTTCCTTTGGTTACAATATGTTTTCATATTTAAAACTGTGCTTTTTTTTTTCCTCCTTCAAGAAAACCATCATGATGCAATCTCAGTAAACATAGTGACTATCTCATAATTTGTTGAAGAAGTTTATCTAATGTGTGCTGTTTCTTCTGGTGTTTTATTTCAGTTAAAAGCCCTACCCAGATGCAGCTGCACCCCAATTGATTTTACACCCCTTAGGTATCCCAGATGACTGCGGGACGTTGGTACCTAATGGCAGTGCTGAGCATTTACAGTCCTCTTCTACACAGAAATTACACCCGTGTCATCATATATGTTACTTAATGCAAATGTGGAGCGGACATCACTGCATTCAGATGAAGGCATTCTAGGTATGGTGAAGGGGGTACTTCTCTCTTTGTAGGAGAGCAGGATTTTTTATTTGGCTTCAGAGAGACAAGCAGGCAAGAATGAAGTGCTGAATATGTGTTTCTGCAGTGAGTGCTCTACTAACCAAATGTTATTTGCACCTTGCATGGCCCAGTAAATAATTATTCTAGAGGAGAATCTAAGCATGATGCAATAGCCTGTTACTGCATTCACTTGGGAAGAAGACATGGGTCCCAGCTCATGAACCAACTGGAGCAGGGAATTGAAGTATCCATTGGAGCAAGAAAGCCAGGTCTCAGAGCTAGCCATTATGTTATGAAGTTATGTCCTCTCTTTCTATGCTTCTGGTGAAAGAGGTGGTGAATATTTAATAGTTTCATGCAAAATGGAATAGTGGAAGGTTTGAAAAAAACCCTATAAATCCTACAGCATTGTTCTTAGGTGCTTCCTGTGGAAAGCAAATTACCATCATGTGAAAAAATTAATTTAGTTGAATTTCCCAAAAGGACTACTCAAACTACTTAGTTGCTTCTGAAGAGGGAGAAACGCAAGGGTCCACACTGCAATTCTTCAACTGCATTCAGAAAAAAAAGATTATGGGAGTCAGGTGTTTTTACTTTTAGGTAGTTGCTCTTACCTCATTGAAATGTGATTTAGCCATCATAAGGAAATTCTTCTTAAAAGTGAGATAAAAGGAATGGGAACAAAAATTAAGAAGGTACCTCCTTCCTACCTGAGATACTGATATGCCCAAACACTGAGATACCAAGATCTTTCTTTTCTCAAAAACGTAGATTGGTTTTCACAAGGCATTTAATAAAACCTTTCTATTACCAATTGCATAACAGCAATTAAAATTCTCATCAAATCCATCTTAACTGTTTATAGTCTTCCACTAGGGAACATTTTCCTTGGTAAACATCTGTAGCAAAAGGCTATTTAATCTCCACAAGTGAAACAGTCAGTTATGCTAATTCATCTCTTCTACTGTCAGTTTACGTTGAATCTTGTACAGAACTGGTGTTCTGT